ATGATGATGACTTTTTAAAAAGCAGTCATATATTTTAAAAAATACAATGTTTTATATAATACATATTTTTCATTGAAATATTTCAGCTATCTAGAATACATGCTTTCTAAAAAGTCAAATTGAAATTCAAATATACAACTATCTCTAAAGTATTTAACAAGAACTTAAAAACCATGTTAGTTTTCTGGCCTAGTCATCTACTAAATTAAATGTCCTATTTACTTGGATGTAATATTAATAATAAATTTTACCCAGTTTTTACTTCTAGCAAATTTCAAGTATTAGAACAAACTATTGGCACCCAAAAACCTGAAAAAGATGCAACACAGTACAAAATTAGGATAGATATACAAATATTGGAAAAAAAAATCAGTTGGGACATTAAGTCCATATCAGTCGTAAGTAACTCACTGACTTACTTTAAGTCAGTCACTCTTTTACCAGTCCAGCCTACTCACAAGTTGTGATGGGGTACAATGAAGAGAGCTAGCCAATTAAATTACCTTGAGTTCCTGGAAGAAATTTGATACATTAGAAATGCATCTAATAAATAAGAAAGTAAACACATCAAAATCCACAGTAACTGGGTAGTGAATGAAATTTTACCATATAAAGGTAGAAATGAAAATGATACAACATTCTAGTTTATCTTTAGTGAGAACTGCTTTGAAATAATAACAAATAATCCCTGAATTGAAAAAAGTAAACTTACATTATGCATGTCTCTATTTCAGTTGAGTGTTCGGGGAAAAAATAAGAAAGAGAAACTTGAAGACTTTTTTAAAAACATGGTTAAGTCTGCTGATGGTGTCATTGTTTCAGGAGTAAAGGTGATCTTTAAGCAATTTTAAAGCCATTTCTGAGTATTGAATGATATGAGTTTAAATAATTTGCAAGAGGAATATATCTCAAATAATTTACAGACAACTGTTGTATACAAAGAGTAGCTCTTTCCAACACACCATTGGTTTGCAATATATCTAGTGTTATAAATTTCTGGGGGACCTTGCTTGAGTGAGGAACCCTTTGGCAGTGCTGGATCTTTTTGGCTTTCCTGAAGGAATTGAAACTTGCTCTCTGTCCTTCTGGATATAGAAATTTCAGGATGATTCTGTTTACTCTCTTGGACTATTGCAGAGATGAGGCATATATTTTTCCATATGAGATCTATCCATCTAATCTTGAAATGCTTGACAAAGTAATAATTATTTTCAGATTTTTCTCATTTCATATCTGCAGCTTAAATTACATGGGCTAAATGGCATTCTCGGTCTAAGGATCTACAATTTTGACAGGACATTGGAAATACTTACAAATCACAAATTACTAATACATTAAAACAGAGTTCTCCAATCTTTCCGGGTTCGTGGTCCGGAGGGGAGAGCTTCCAAATTACTATGTGTGCATGCACGCAAATGGGACCACGCCTCTCTGGCACAGTACTACCAACCGAGTTTACGCATGCGCTGGCACCGTGCGCATGCATGAACCGCCATGCACCCCGCTGCGGCTCGCGCATATTCACACATGCACAAATGGGCCACGCACACACACACCCAGGGCTAGTGGCCCATTTGTGCATGCACAAACGGGGTGCGGGCACACACCCACACTAATGTCCCCGTTTGCACCCGCACGCATACGCAAACGGCTGCGGGCGTGAGTGGGAGGAATGCACACCCACACGTGTGCACCCTGGTCAGCCATTTCCGCGGCTTGCTGGCCAAGAGCCCACAGCCTAGTACCAGGCCATGGCCCATAGGTGGGGACCCCTGCATTAAAAGTTATTCTCCACCATTTCCTCTAACCTTCTATGCAAGTAGGAACATTTCCAAACATTGTCATTCAAAAGTATTCTACTTATACCATGTAATTGGTGCATGACTCCTATAAGACAAAATGGATTCTTGCTTTTAGATGTAAAACTGTGGGGGAAGCACAAAAGAATAAATATTTTCCATATTTATATAATTACAAATCATCATCATAAGCTATACTTATATCTTACATAGCTTGGTGGATGAAAATATTTTTTTCTGCTTTTCCCAACTTGGTGTCCTTCAGATGGGCTGAAAATTTGCAGCTGTCAATGGTTATGCTAGAGAACACTTTTGAACTCTACAATCCCATTTCACCAAAATTGTTGTGTCTGGTGTTATTTTGTTTGAGCTTTAGTGACATAGAAATATTCTAAATATCAGTGTATTAAAATGCTACTCTGGGGGGGGTTTTTGAGTGTTAAAATTGGGAATTTACCAAGCATCACTGTAATTATGGATATGTAACTGCTGTTTCTACAATTGAACTTTTTTATCTTGAGGCAGTTACATTTTAACTGGTTCAATAAAAATAAATTGCTTCTCTTCAAATTATTCTGCTTACTTCTGATGTATCTTGGCATGCAGGATGTAGATGATTTTTTTGAACATGAAAGAACATTCCTTGTAGAATACCATAACCGTGTCAAGGATTCCTCTCTCAAGTCTGATAAAATGACAAGATCCCACAAAAGTAAGTTGCCTGCTGATGCCTAGAAAGTATTTTGGGGGCATTAGGATAAGTATCATTAAGTTGTGAAGTATTGTTTGTAGATTCCATGTTATGTGATAAATCTGGAATATATGATAAGGATAAATGGTATTTTGGAAAAATAGAGACAATAAATATTTGATTAGAACTAAGATCAAATATGGAAGAGACAAATTGTATTTTATTCTTTTTTTATCTGTGTTTGCAGAATTTTCTGATGCTAGCCAAATATTGCCTGAACTTTTGTTTATATATTCCAAATAAGTTTTGAGATTAAGACAAGTGTGACATTAAAGAAGATGGGATGCCTGGGAATATAAATCATATGGGAATATGAATCATATTGTGGATGTACTTCATACACAAATATAATTAACATAGAAAATCAACATAAAATAAATTTAATACCACATCTTTTTTCTTTTTTCAGATGTTGCAGATGACTACAATAGAATTGGTTCTTCATTATATACATTGGGAACACAGGACTCCACAGATATATGCAAGTAAGTCTCTTTTAAAAGATATACAACTTACAGAAATTATAGCACATAATTTTGAATGTTTTTACATTGATGTGCATTGTTGTTGTTAATTGCGAAGTTGTGTCCGAACCATCGCGACCCCATGGACAACGTTCCTCCAGGTTTGATGTGCATACCATGTGGTAATTTCAGCTATTTTTCTCTCAACTTTGCACTTGGCTTTATGAAAATCCCTGCCATAGTTCTGAACAGATTTACAAAGTGCTACTTCTGTACATTAAATAATTTATGTAGCTTCCTGCATATGTGATAGGTATAGGGCTAAGTTGGAAAATCTTATAAAATAAACAAAATTAAGATGTTTATTAAGAGTAGTATACTATTATTTTCTTTTGTAAATTATTTTTGAAATAATAGGGACTGTTTAAATCAATTTAGATTAAATACCCTTTGTTGCCATTGAGAGATGTCTCTGGAAATGCTTGAGAGATGTCTCTGGATAATAAGCTCTTAGTTGGTTTTCTTCAGGTTAGGTTTCTGTGGATTCTACTCCAACCACACAATCTGATTTAGCAACAGATACTATACTGTAGTCTTTCTCTGTTCCAGTTGTTGTTTTGCTGTTTATCGTTTATAGGATATTTGAGAATTCCCAATGTTCTGTGACCAGAATTATTTTCCAGTCCTTCATATGTTGGATCTTTGCTTCCTGCTTGAAGCTGATTGCATCACAGTACTACTTTCTTCTCCCATCTGCCAATTTGATCTTCATTTTTATTTCCTTAAACTAAAAAGTTTGCTTTCTCAGTTTTGAGTTCTGCTGTCTTCAGTCACCACTACTACTACCAATAATTTATTAATTTTATATGCAGCTCAATTCCTAGTGACTCTGAATGGTTTATAAATTGTTAAACACTTTAAAACAAATAACAAAGCAAAAAAGAACAAAGATGATGACAGAAATAACAAACACAGATGGTTTGTTAGGTAAAAGTTAAAATAAAAAAGGGAGCTTCAGTCACACCACAGGCCTAGACGAAGAGATAGGACTTCAGGGCTCAGTAGAGTAGGGGCTGCTTAAGTCTTGAACTTCATTCCTGAATGCTATAAAAAAAAATATAAAGATTCCAACATTTAAGCTTTCCTTTTTTAAAAAAAAATCTGTTCATCCAATTTATTGCTTTTTTTTCCAAGCTAAAATTGCAGTTATGAACTTTTAGAACTGTTTGTAATCCTGACTAAACAGATATCACCCAAAATAATGTGCTGTCTCATGTCTGTATTGAACAGCTTGAGGAAGGAAAAAGTATGTGTGCAATAATGTTAATACAGTAAACTGGGCCAGGTGGTCCAGTGAAATACGAAATTCCATTAACAAAAAAACTTTGTTTAGTTATTTAAAAATCTTACATAGCCTTGTATGATTTACATAGTTATCATCTTAGAGTCTGTTGTTCAGAAAGGTTTACAGAAATGAATCCTGCCCCCAATTAAAAGCTTTTAAGGAGCTCCCGAAAAAAATAGTTAATGCTTATGAGGCAACAACCATAAGTCATCTGAAGATATTGAAAGAGCCCCAGAGCAAACAGTAAAAGATATGCAGGCCATGCTTACATTGTTTGATATCAGTATTCCTGATTCCATTCTAAAGAATACACTAAACATGAGTTGTCTGCATGGTTGGATGAAAACCACTGCTCTCTAGATGGCATATTGTTGCCCATTTAAAGTTTGTCAAAGATGATCTGGATGTTCCAGTCGGCTTAGAGAGACCACAGTCTTCAAATTATAGAGCACGCTGGATGACATTGGCTCGTGGTGTCTGCCTATTATTTAGAGATATATTAAAGAAAAATTGGAGGCAGATAAATAACGGTATCTACCATCTTGAAGATTTAGGAAAGGGATAACTGTTGTAAGCATTAAGGAAGTTACTTTGATACTATTGCAAGCTAACATGATTCAGTATAGTCTCTGGTATATGGTTGATAATGTTGTTCACCAGGCAATTATTGACATAGAATGATATCCAGCATAATAAAACAAAATGATGACCAGAAAACTATTTACTATATTTACTTTCCATTTACAGATTTTTCCTGAAAGTATCTGAATTGTTTGATAAAACAAGGGTATGTATTATGAAAGATTGCAAGATTTCAATTTGGTTAACTCATGGGTTCTTCAGATTTCAGTATTTTTCTCTGGTTTGAGGTCCTGTGACATCTTACTATTATTCAACGTTACTTATGCTTTCAAAATACCTCCTGTCCAAGCCCCTTAAAACATTACTTAATTAACCAACAAACACAGACTGTAACATCAGAAATAAAGACCTCAAAGTTCTACAAAGTACTACCTACTTTCGGTTTGATTAGAGGAACATCCATGGGATCACCACTCTCAGTATTTTGGGATGTAGCCTGTCTACTTTATCCTCACCATGCATAATGTTATACAATCATGTCTCCTTTTATTCAACTATTTAGACTCTTCTAGATTAAAAAACAAAATGTAACAATCTTCCTGATAGAGAAGCTCCTTGCTCGTATTAGTTGCCTCTTCTGAACCTTCTTTAGCGCTACTATATACTGTTTGAATTGCAGTGACAAGGCATTTTAAGTTGTAGACAATAGATTTTTGTAAATATCTGCTTTTAATAAAGTAGGATGTAATTGGGACACTATAAATGGACGTGGTTTGTACTACCTAAAATATTATTTCTGACGTGCTTTTTTTTTTTTTTAGAAAATAGAGGCCCGCGTATCTGCCGATGAGGATCTTAAACTCTCAGATCTTCTAAAATACTACCTAAGAGAATCACAAGCTGCAAAGGTGAACTGAATTTCTGGTTAGAAAAGTATCTTGTAAATTTGATGTTGTAATATAATAACAGCCTGAAAACATTCTGAAAATAGAATTCCATGGAACTAATATTTTATATGCTTTAGCTAATGATCTAAACTAAGTATGCACACTTCATACAACTTTCATATATATATATGTAGGTCTTTGGTTATTCGGGTTTTCTCCCACGTAAAATTGGAAGTGACGTTTCGACGTTTCGACAAAGTCCCATTCATCATCTTCAGGTTGGTGTTTTTGGCTTTGTGCTTCTAGGAGCACGACCTACATACAAACACCCACGAAAACCTCAGAAAACATACATACATACATACATACATGTATACATACATGTGCGACAGCCAACCCCCCATCCAATCAGCACAGCCAAACCCCTAACCAATCAGAACACACCTCCACCCAATCAGAACACAGCCAAGCTCCCACCCAATCAGTTCATACCCCCACTGGCAGTTAAAAGGAAGAAACAGCTAAGACCACACATTGCTCCTCGAAGCACGAAGCTGAAAACACCAGCCTGAAGAAGACGAATGGGACTTCGTCGAAACGTCGCCAAGACACTTCCAATTTTACGCGGGAGAAAACCCGAATAACCAAAGACACACATATATATATTCCACTTTCTTTGGAATCAGTCAAATGTATTGCTAAAATAGTATTTAGATGGTTTCACTGGTTTGTACTAAACCATATTTGTTAAAAACTCAGATGGTCCCTTCAGTTTGGAGGGTGTGAGGATGGGGAAATGAAACAAGCATAGTGGAAACAGAATCATTCTTGTGCTATAGTTACTTATTTTTAAAAAGACAAGATGATTGATTCTTTCAGTTGGTTACTTGTTTTCTGATATAGTTCCTCTTAAATGAGCTTTCATTTTCATGATAGATAAAAGTTATTTAGTTGTGTAAAATGACTGTCTTAATAATAGAATAAAATTCTATTTGGAATAACATTGAATCATTCTTTAAAGTATTTTTTCCAAAGTTAATACACACAACTGGATTTTATTCCTTTTTTATTTATTACAGGACCTTCTGTATAGGAGATCAAGGTCATTAGTGGATTATGAAAATGCTAACAAGGCACTGGACAAAGCTAGAGCAAAAAACAAAGATGTACTGCAAGCTGAAAATACTCAGCAGCTTTGCTGTCATAAATTTGAAAAAATATCTGAATCAGCAAAACAAGGTATTGAAATAGTCTTGGAAGTTGTCAAATTTTACAATGCATTAATTTCCAGAATTAAGTCCTATGGCACCTTAAGGCTAATTAGTTAATTGTGGTGTAATGTATTGTGGACTACAGTACACTCCATCAGATTTTTCAGTCTTCTGAAATACAAGAATATACAGGAAGTCCATGACATATCATAATTGAGCTTGACAGTTACTGTTCTAAATCAGGATGGTTGTAAAGTGGGACATCATGTGAGTGAGCCGATTTTATAACTTTTTTTGTGGTAATCATTAAGCGAATGTGGCGGTCGTATAGCAAATAACAGTGGTGGTTAAGTGAACCCATTGGTTAAGTGAACTGAAGGCAAATGCCAATTTCTGGCAAAAACATAAATCGTAGTCATGTAGCTACAGAATACTGCAAATGCCTGTGAATGTGGACTGGT